CTGCCCAAGATTACAGAGGGTCAGTGATGTTAGGACATACTTCCTTTGAGACAAAATTTTGTTAGTAGAGATGGGAACTTAAACGGTGGTCCGTAGGAGTTTTAATCCTAACAAACCGAGAATGTCTCCATGAATTTCAAGGTTTCTGAGGGAAAGGTAGTTGGTACAACACCAAGTTGCATCGTGGGTAACATGAGACTTATGCTACAGGAAAGAGAATGGCATCTGGACTTTAGGCCACTTGAAGAGCTCATTGATTATATTCAGGGTGTAGGTAGTATAGATATTATCAATGAGTGATTGTGTGAATGCAATGTATCTATTTTGACTTTGGGAAGTTAATACAGATGGGGTAGGGATGGGTGGCAGCCCTCTCTACTAAGAAATTTGTCCCTAGGGGCAAAGTGTGAACTGGAAAACATTTAAAAATCAATAAGATTTGTTTTGCTGAGCCTTGATTGGTCCATTGCATGTGACATCACTCGGATTCCTTGTGAGGTATGCTAGTCTCTAGCCAATAAAATGGTGCTGCCTGAGCCTGAGCTTTGTCTGTACTTCAGAGAGCAGTTGTGTGTTGGGAGAGCAGTTGGATTCAGTTGGTTGCCATATACTTGGTCTTTCCCCCCAACCTTTTGGATGTGCGCATAGTGAGTGCATTTCCCAAAGTTTCAGTGTATTATGGCAATTGGCGCTTGACTTATTTACTGCTTCATTTACATTACTGGTTTGGGTTTCAATCAACTTCTTTGTCATTTTATTATTCCTGTTTACTTGTGTATTTTACAAATTTAGTTGTATTCATTAACTGTTCAAGATGAGGATTTCAATCATGATTTTGAGATATGAGTTTCGACTCTTCCCCACAGTCTCCGTTTATGCTCTACAGTTCTTCACTTTGTTTGTTACAATTTCTACTTCAGCTACTGTATGAGGCCATTTTCACTGTGAAGGAAGTGCTCTTGAGTGTGTGGCTGAGATGGATGTGAAGTATCAAGGTCTTCTCATCTATATTATTCCGGAAAAGGAACTTAATCTAGCTCTATTCATTGAGCTCATTTGTTTGAGGGATCAGGGTTATACTGGTTCAGAGATTAGTGTGTCTGTGTTCCTTTGCTTACACTTGAAATATTTTCTCTAACCTGGTTCTCATCTCATTCTTCAACAAAGGTTTGAATGAACCACAGAGTCCATGATGTTTGGGCTATGCCATATTTGGCACGCTTCTGGGTGCCAGTTCAATAGAGTTGGAGATGACAAATGTTTAAGAGATCTTATATTAACTTATTTCAATATTTACACATGTGTAGGAATTCCTACCATATTTGCTAATGTACTGTGTATAAATGTTAAGAGAAACCTTTTCCTTGAGAGAAGCCTTCCCACCAGCCTGGTTCTAGAGCCGCATCAGTCCCAAATAAACACACAGGAGGCTATATTAATTATGAAGCTGTTGGCCTCACTTGTTTCTTACTGGCTAGCTCTGACTTAAGTAATTATCCCATAATTGTTAATCTAAGTATTTCTCTTACCGGAGAATAGTTCCGGGCTTCCTACCCCATGGTGTTACATCTTGACTCTCCGTGTTTCTTCTTCCCAGAGTTCTCCTGAACTCCTAATCCCACCTAACTTGGTTCCCTATTGGCCCAACAGTGCTTTATTGGCATATACATAGGACTTCCCCCATCATATAAACACTGTAACATTCCTGAAAGAACCTCTAGACAGTAGTTCTATCCTTTACAATATCAATTGTTCTATAATGTAATCTGTATCTAATCTCTCTTGATGAGCTTGGTTGAGGGGGTGCGTTCTGGCACGTCCTTGAAAAGAACTAGCTCATTCTGTCAGGGATCTCAGCATGTTCTTTACATGCGCACTTCACTAACGCCAACTCTGTACTGACACCTGCATTTTAGAAGAAGCAGAAGACTCAGGTTGTAGGGGATCCAAAGTGATTCTAGTTAAAAGCATTAACACACTATGTTGTTTCCAGAACACTGGATGTTTATAGATTAGGCAGATATTTTTAGCACAATGAGAAGCAGGTTGTAATGTGAACTTAGAAAACAACCAAAATGAATTTAAACTCTTGAGCTTATAATTATGGTAACTTTAGTTAGCGGTCCCCTGGCAGGGCTAGATTATTAGTTTACCGTAACTCTATTAGTTAATCTTAAGACTATAACTTTTGGGCTCTTAACATAGCAGTAGATTAAGTGAGAATAGACACCTGAAACATTGTTCATTCTTTCATGCTCCTTAAATCTCTTTCTTTTTACTTCACTTCTGCCTTTTCATCCTCAGACCTTTATAACTTTCACTTACACACCTTAGAACACCTTCCTCCTATTTCACCAGGAGATACACGTGGTTGATTACCAAGAGCACTCACTGTAGATCGAGTTCCTTTCAATAAAGGAATGGTAAAAATTTATATTGAAATCTGTTCTGTGTGTGTATCTCTTTTTCTAAGTCAGGTCACAAGGTAAACTGTGTATTCTAGTACTTTTACAGGACTGAAGACCGTCATTAGGATATCTCACATTTCATGACAGAGATTTCAAAGCTGTAAACTGTACTCCTAAAATTGCATTACCATTATTTCTTTCTTTCATTCTTTCTTTCTTTTAGAATTGTGTGACTCTGATTTCACAGGAGATAAAGAGGTTGAAATTGAGCAGAACACCATGGCTAGCCACATGGAAGAGGACATTCTTGAAAAAGATTTCAAGATGTTACTGTCTTTAGGTTGTGGCTCCTTTGGGGAGGTGATGCTGGCCTGCCACCTTCCCACACATACGCGAGTGGCTGTCAAGGTCCTGGAGAAAAGCACCAACAGTGTGGCTGACATCAGCACTGAAGTGAACATCCTTCAGTCTGTGGAACACAGGAACATCGTTCGGTTTTTTCACATGATCGACACAGTGACAACCACTTATGTGATCATGGAATATGTGGCAGGAGTAGATCTGGAGAGCTACCTCAGGGCACTGGGCTGTCTAATGGAGGATGAGGCTAGACCGATTTTCCGGCAGGTTGTGTCAGCAATTCATTTCCTCCACCAAAGACACATTGCGCATCGTGATATTAAATTAGAAAACATCTTAGTCGATGCAGCAGGAAATGCAAAGCTGTGTGACTTTGGTATGGCAATTAAGATCACAGAGGGGCAGATGTTGGAGGAGCTGTGTGGTTCCTTGCTCTATTGTGCCCCAGAGATCTTGGCAAGTAAACCCTATGATGGAATGGCAGGTGACATGTGGAGCTTGGGTGTCCTCCTATACATCCTGGTCACAGGGCACTTCCCATATATAGAAACCACCATTGAAGGTATGCACAGGCTCATCACCACCATGATGTGTCCCATTCCCAGCCACTTGTCAAAATCGTGCCATACCATCATTGCACGATTACTCATGGTCCCCACCTGGTACAGAATGACAATAAGTCAGCTTGTGGAACGACCATGGCTGGGCCACATTGAAGAACATGTACCACCTGCACATAAGGAAATCCTTCCCAGGGTCGTGGAGACTATGTGCACCATGGGCTACACCTGTGAAGAGATAGTATCATCCCTGAAACACAGGCAACCAAATAATGTAACAGCAACCATAAACATCCTCAAACACAAATTGAGCTGTGGGGATAGCCATGTGCAAGATGAGTCCTGGGTAAACATGGTCTCTTCAGGTCTTCTTAGCCTCCCTCTGCCCTTGAAGAAGAGAGCTAGTGAACCAGCTCTTCCTGCTCAGGAGAATCACTTTCACACAGAACCTGTGGAAGAAAGAGGCAAGGGGTGCAGAAGCTGCCCCAGGCTCAGCAGGTACTCCTGCCTGGGAAGTGATGCCCTGCCCTGACAACACAGTCCCAGAAAGAGAGGCTTCTATGGAAGATGTCACCAACACTGCTACAGGGGACATTGCAGTCAACAGGAATTCAGTTGAAAGTCTACCTGGCAGTCTCCCCTGTCCTGAAGCTGCTCTGGATGGAACTCCTACTGTGTTTGTCAGCATGGACTTCTCCATAGAGGAACCATCTAAGGGACCAAACTTTCAGAGTGACCAGTCCCAGGTGGCACCCACAACATCTGGATCCAGGCCATTCAGGGCTGGAGTCTGGTGAGGAAGCGAATTTCCCAAGCCATGAGAGCACTGTGCTGCTGTTGCTGCCGCTGCTGCTGTGTGACCACCCCACGGTGAGCCCTGCATGGAGTCCTACATACGGTGCAGTTGGTTTGGTGACCCATCTATTTTAAAGAAAATATTTTATTATCATTTTAAATCACAGTTGTACCCACTGAGAGGGCACAGATTTTAAGATGTCTAGTACTTTATGATGTCACAATTCCAGCTTCCTGTTCATTTAAATGTCTGGACTGATGATCCAAAAGCAGATAGTATAACATGGACATGACCAGGTGGGAAGGAAGGGAGGAGAGTTTGCTCTGGTGGCCAAATGTTCAGAATAGTGTAGTAGTTGGTACCAAATTCTGTCCTATCAATGTCACTAATAGAGATTCTTTCATGTTTCTTTCTGCTTGGAAGAGTGGAAACTGAAATGGTCTAGTAGAACTCCAGCCTAGTGAGGAGTGACTGCCACAGAAAGGATCCAGTACAGATCATTAGGGCACCATTTCCCACCAACCTGAGACATCAGGCTCCTGCATCCATCCTCCTGATACTGTGTGTGATGTGCATGGTTGCATCTCCTTCAGCTTCCTCCAGCTGCAGCAGTTGCTGCTGTACAAAGAGGTGGTCATAAGGCACATCTGCCCAATGACCCCCCATCTCCCTAGCTTTGGCTGTGCTTGTAGGTCCACTCATAGTGCATGGAAAACAGGAAGTCCTTTGGTACCAGTCTAGGCAGCTCATCATCTTGGTCACTTTAACCACTCCCACTCAATCTGTGACTGTCTTCTGGAAAGGACAGCAGGAACAATGTAAGTCCTCTGGAACAGAGAGATGGTGCCCAACTGGGAAAGAGGATTGAGGCAGGAATGTGGAAAAAGGAAATGAGGAGTGCTGTCAAGGAAGGGATACAGTCTGTCCTGAGGAATTTCCTATCAACAAATTAACAAAAAAGAGATGGCTGTTTTGTCCTGTGACAGGGTTTTATAGAGTAGCCATAGCAGTAAGAAAGCTCCCTTGAGGAACTTATGGTGAGGGGCTAGGAACAAGCAGCAATGAGATGTATATATCCTTTTCTGATGATCCTAGCATTCATCAAGGCACACAAGTAGGATGCTGCCTTTGAAATATCTTAACCTTACCTAGTGAGCTAGGATGTGGTTGGGAAAAGCGCAGCCTTGGTCAGTAGAGTCCCCTCTTCCTCTTGGCTGAGTACGTCTTTTGGTGTGCACTTGGGGAAAATGCAATATCCCATTTGACAACAGTCTGTCTTTGTAATAGGAAGGATCCAGGTAACAATTCTGTGTCCTGTGTAGCAATATATCATGGCTACAGGTTCTAGTATCTATGCTTCTTCATTATAGCCTCAGCTATGATCTTCCCCAACCTTCACGTAACTGCCACCCTGTAATGTGGTTGGACATCTCTAAAGAGTCACATGTAGCTCAGACTCAATGAAGGTCTACTTGCCTGTTTTCATGGCCCTGAGGGACCAGGCTTCCATAGCATTGAAAAGGGCTGCCTCTGTTAACAGGACAGACTTGACACAAATCTCAGGTATCACTCCTCTTTGTTCACACCATCCCTTCCATATTGCTTTCTGGCTGTCTTTAGGAACTTCAGGAATTGCAATACCAGTTGGATATGGGATAAGGGATATAATGGACAGTATCAGGGAAAAGGGTGTTGGAGAGGACAAAGAGAAAATGAGAAAACCTGTAGAGGGAGGGATAAAGTCTGTCCTGAAGATCGTACATAAAAATGAGGGATTTTGAAGAAGTAAGACCAGGAACAAATGTCTCCTGCAGACCAGAGTTGAAGCTCAGGTTTATTGACAGCCATGAGGAGGTAAATCATGAACTCATATTTCTGGCTCGTGTCAGTCTATAGACGTGTGAAGCTGCCTTGGAAAGTTTTGCTTTCCCGAGCTACTGCTGAAGGGTGTGTCAGAAGAGAAGATTGGTTCCATCATTCATTCGTGTCTCTTTATGCTCCTGTCTGAAATGGCCTGATGACATCTGTGTCTTTGTTTTCATAGCCTCCTTCATCCACGTTTCTCATGTTGCCTCCCATCTCCTGATCCTAGCAGTTGACATCATTTTCCCATGTTATGCGGGGATTTATAACATATATTTGATATTATATTAATATTGCTCTGCTCCACAGTAACAAGGTAAGGATGTTATGCCAGGTGTAATTCTGAGTTCTCCCTTAACAATTCCAGCAGCCATGACTTCTCTATGACCAATGAACTATAAGAGTCATGATTACAAGGAATTCTTGTTCACAGTTCAACCCTTGACAACAGCCACAGGTTCAGTTTGAAAGTGTGGCGAGTGTGGTGTGTGAGCTGTTTTCCAGGACACCTTAAGGTAGGGAGCAGGTCCCTGAATGTTGGAGGGGAACTGAACTCAACAGAGATTCCCAGGCCCAAATCTGTGTGAATTGCCAAGTGAAGGTAAGTTTGAGTACAGTACGTACCTGTTTGTGAGAGAGGATGAGATTCAGAAGCCTGGTCTTGATGTCCTGAAGAAAACGAGCACATGAGGTGGCTTAGGTCAGCTTCCCCAACACAGAGGCAAAGGTACCAGGGACCTGCTTGAATGAAGGCCAGTGACATAATGAGAGACTACAAGGTTTGGAAAATGAGGTACTATCCTCTTCTTGAACTTGGCATGCAGCTTCTATTCTGATCTTCTGATCCATCAAACGTGGTGCATATTGAATTTGTTGGCAGAGCTTCGTCCCTGCAGGATGACAGGCAGCTTGTGCTGTCACATACTTTCTAGAATCTTGGTGGTTTGGTGAGTCCCATGTGCGCAGAAAAAGCAGCAGCTTGCATGGTGGGTGAGAGTGATTTTCAGTTTGTGGGAATCACCTGATCTCAGGCTTTGATTCTCTTGAAAATTATGATGTCAGGGATGTGAAATGGTTGAATTCTGGAAAGAAGACATAGAAATGTCCCGAATGCACAATTTATATTTTATGTTTTGACAAGGGGTATTACTATGTCCTGGCTAACCTGAGCTGCTGTATGTAGAATAGGCAGATCTGAATCTCAAACATATCCACATCTGCTTCTTCTGCTGTGTGTTGCAATCACATATGTATACTGCTGTGCCTGGATTCAAGATTTGTATAGCATCAATGGTGAATTCCTCCAAACATGTGAGGTGGAATTGTTCCAATTTTGTTCTTTTTTCTTCTGGACAGGGTCAGGTTTTTATCTGAAGGAACCTTCATCCAGGGTGGACTTGAAACCAGGGGCTAACTGCAAATGTGACCTGCAGAATAGAGTCTGTGTCCACCATAAACAGATCCCTAAGGTAAGAAGTGTTGTCATCAATTCGTTTGTGGACACAATGCAGTGAACTGAAGGAGGTGTGTTCTAGGTGATAGATCCGTGGATTTAAGGTGCAGAGTGTTATCGTGTAGCCCTAACCCTGTTTCCACAGGATCTCCACCTGCAGTCCAGTTACAAGTCACATGACTTTACTCTGACCCATCAGAAGTGTGCAGGTTTGCTCCCTGGTCTGATTAATTGTGTTCTTTCCATTTGTGCCATCAGAAAAAGGATTAGGACCCAAGGTAGGTCACTGAGATATTTGGTACCTGTTTTGGAATTTTGAAGGCAGAGCTTTTACATCAAGGACACTAATGGTAGAGGCACTGCAGAAAGCTACTCATTCTAGATAGGAGCTTCTAGTCGTCCTCATCTAGCACAATCATACAGTCTACTTTCTTGTTGAATTCCATCGCTAGTCTTGTCACAGGCCCCACCATTGCTGTCTTTAAATGTCAAAACCTGTTTGATTGCACTTTAGGCCATTGAACCATGTTCACTGTGGCTGGATAATGAGGATACCAGGGATTCCAGGAGTCCTGATACTGAACAAAGTAGGATTCTGTGCAGCAAACTCTGGACTGTCTGTGAGGGTAGAGTTGATCATTCTCTCACCAATACACTGTGGTCCATTCGAGGAGACCACTGTCCTATTCCATGTCCTTGGTGTCCTGTTGCTTATGTTGTGGCTCCTACAGAGCTCAGATTTTACATAAGACAGAAAAGAGATGGTTGTCTTTTGGGACTTGCTTGTCGCATAGAATACAGTCATCTTAAGATGCACTGTGTTCTGGAAAATTTCAAATACTGACACTGAAAATGTGTTCTTTGCCTCACAGCCTCTTCTTATATTAATTCCATCTTAGTGTGTATTTGAAATTTTTATCTCTCATCTGCATTTGGCACAATAACTTGTTTCTCTGTGTGGGTAGAAAATTTACAAATCTGACTACAAAATCACCTTCCCACACTATTCCTAGCTTTTATGTGACTAAGTTGAGTTGGAGAGCATGAGAACCTGGGATACAGTGGGAGAAGGGATAATTTCAGAGTGAGCATTTAGAGAGGATGGAAGAGACAGAAAGGAGTCTCCATGGGGAGACAGAAGTGAAGTGGGGGTAAGAACCGTGGAGACTGAGTGCTGCATATTTCAGATTCCCTTTCCATCCTTTCCACATGTCCCTGTTTTTAAAGTGATGAACTCTATACATCAGGACCCACAAGTTGTAGATTTCCAGCTGTGGTCGCAGAAGTAGGAGCTATGCAGGAATTACAGATGGCAGTGTGCCCAGTTACGAAGCATGAAGTGTCTGTGTCCAGCGCAGAAGGAGGTAAGCCATCTACCATAGGTTTCTCCCCAAGTAACCACAATTGTCAAGGAAAAATATTTCAGGGCTGGCCTTCCTCAGAATATGTAGTAACAGGGTCTGTGAGCTAATACCATGTCCAAGCTGGGCATGAATGTATAGAACATGTGAACCACTCTTCAGGGAAACACCTCAGCAATGCTCACTAATCTGTACATCTTTTCAGGTTCTGCTCCTGTTGAAATATTTCCCTTGAGGTCTAAGGAAGATCCTTCCCTTGATTCCTCCTCCCCCTCCCTCCTGTTTTGTTTGCACCCTTCTTTTATCCCTGTGCCCTGCCCATCAGAAAAACACAGTCAACTCTGTGCTGGTCAAGTTTATGTGTTTGTGAGGGGACCTCACTGTAGGATTTACCTAGCCTAGGACACAGAGGCCAGAGTTGGGGTCACTTGTTTTGGAACTACTTTGTGCCTATGTCCCACTGGGTATACGGTCAGGCCTGGACAGCCTAGGTGACCATAGAGCTCTTCTGTTCTCTACATGTGCAAGCATGGCTGAAGTCATCACTGAGACCACTATGTGCCAGCCTGTGATAGATGAGAAATTTTTGGGTGACAGTGTAAATTTGACTCTGACTTACAGGTAGGAAGCACAAGGCTGGCCATTCAGGCTTCTTCAATCCCAAGGGAATTTAGTCTGGAGCTCATGTTCCAGAGGAGAAAAAAGAGAAAGAATCACCCTAGGCATGGCTTCAGAGGGATGTTGAGAAAACTTGCTGTAGGTACTACCTCTCTCCTCTCTAATACTAACACCCCTGAGGAGGAAGAGAATGATGGTTGACTGGTTGTTCTGTAAGGCCTGAAAAGCAGGGAAATTTACTATAGCAGTTTTGTTTAAATTAGGTCCAATGGGTCCTTATATTTAGAAGCCTTTGTGTCCTGGCCACTCCATTAAAACACCCACATACATATAAGCTATTGGTCACTAAGAGATAACACTGAATATGTAGACAGTATACATGAGACCAAGGTGGGGCATATGACCAAGACACAGACGATGGTCTATGGACATGGCATTCCACATTGCTTTACTGGGTTTGCAACTCTGTGGATCTGTCTGCCTTAAGTCTCACCAGGTTGAATCCACAGACCCAGGGATAGATAAACTGATGTTTAAGCTACCTTTGGTGGGCACATAAAGTGAGCAATAACATACCTTTCTCCTCGTGTCTTTACTCTTGTGCAGTCTGCTTCAACAAAGGATCACCATCATCCTTGACATAATTGCTGTCACTTGGGTTATCCTCCTCACCAGCCAGCCCTGGACATAACAGATGGTCAAAAGTGTAAGCATTAAGCTCCCAGAGTAATCCCCATGCCACACTCTGTTTCTGCCCAATGACACACATATGTTCCCAGAGTAATAGCCATGTTTCTTGTCAGTCTGCAGACCTCGTCTTATCTCATTCTTCCCTACCCTTCATGAATCAGGAATTGTCCAATTGGGATTTTTGTGAGCATTATGGGATGGGAAGCACAGTGGTGTACAGCAGGGACTGAGCACTTAGTGTATGTGCTATTGTAGGTGCAGGCTGCATATGACTCTTTCAAATCTAGGATTGACTGTTCCTCCATGGATTGTAAGAATGAAGGCAAAGGTAAGACCAAGTACAAAGGACCACTGTCTTGCACAAATGACTATGGGATTTCCTCAGACCTGGTTCATTGGCCACCAGACAGTACCAGATGGAATCTTTACTGTGAGAGTTCTATGGCATTTAAAGCTCAGCAGACTGGGGATATTGGATGAAGATAAATGGTTTTCATAGCATCTCAGGAGAAGAACAGC